GTACCGTCTGCGCCAGTACGGTAGGGATGGAATATAGGGCCTAGCCAGCTTCGGGGGCTACCAATGTTGCGGTCTGGATATGGTTGCTTAGCAACATAGATTGTTATGATCGGCGCTGACAATTACAATTCCCTATGTATACAGCGAGAAGTAGGAAATCTTCTTTCCCTAGATTTCATTAATTAACTGATTTATTCTAGACTTGCTCTGCTGTATACCAACACCAATTGCCGGCAAACACGAATTCTTCACCTTCCAGTGGTGCCGGTGTAATCGCTCAGTGTGCTCTGCATATCTTGGATAGCCAAGAAGAATCGCATCCGAATCGAAGTCGAAAGCAACCTCATACACATCTCCATTTGACAACTTCTCGACAATGCCTCTCTTATCATTATCATCTGAGTCCTCAACCCATCTCTAACCACGCATCATCCCGCCTCAACGACCAATAAAGAAGTTGCTCCAATTGCATACAGAAGCTTGCCCCATTAATCTCTAGCCATCACTCACTACATATTTACGACGCTATTAATACCCGCAAGGAGGAAATCAAGTCGAACAATACAAAGCCTGGGTCATGGCTTATGGGGGTCTGCTGCTCTAATGGGACAAACAACTTGAGGAAGAACGGGCGGCTGAGATGTGGAGCGAGAGGTGGAATATGTCTTTGAAGACCATGCTAGAACTGCCATTTTCGAGGGGGTTTCAACTTTGGTTTAATTGTGGGCGTCATGACCAGGGCTTCGGCTAATTGGCCAGGAGGGCTTCTTTTGTCGATGAGTTAACGGCACTCCCTAGCGCCCTGGAAAGCACGAAAAAAGTTGGGCTAAGCAACTTTACAGTAATCATGCTCTGTCAAGACTTTTCTGACATTTCACCACGACCTTCGGGGAGGAGTTGGAAGGAGGCTAGAAAGGCAGAGGGTGAATTTCCCGAGTTACCCACAAGTCTGCAGCGCCCAGCTGGCCAGCCTCTTCGAACGCTTCTGAAGGGGCAATATGTCTTCGGATTTATTCCTAATGTCGGTACTAGGAGAGCTCCGCACCCAGTGGTTTTTGCGATTTTTCCCGGCTGCCATACACCCGCAAATGGCCATCGTTTCTTTGGCTAGAGAAGGGAGATGATGAAGGGTAAAGGGCTCCTCTTAGTGTATGATCGAATGAGGACTTGTGAGGGGTGGTACTGTTTGATGGGAGCTGTATGGGAGGCATAGGAGTGGATATACTACTGGTATAGGTATCCTTAGCTTGTAGGCAGAGAGGACCTGCGTGTCCTAAATAGTCATAGACTCAGACAGGACAATAAAATGAATTAATTGTTAAATTAAATAACTGTTGGTCAAACATAATTATTCTTGTACCTGAATATAATGGAGTTATGGTTGTGACTATTGTTTACTTAGGAGCATAATGAGTAAGGCGTTTGGAGATATTATATACCCTGTATTAGTAGTTCCATATTAGCGTGTAGCGAGGGCTAGGTCGAAGCATTAGGAGAGAGTGCAGAGAAGCACTCGCAATATACGCTCTGTATTTTATGTTAACCCAATACTTTATCAAATCTACTTCCAGTAGTCCTAAATCAGTTATCTAAGAGAATTATATTCTAATATTAATAATAAAAACCAACACCAATTGATCCGGCGACACTTCTGGGGTGATGAAAGCATAATCGGATAGCCACAGGTTTTTCACGCTTTTCCCTGTGATGGGTATGCACGGAAGATGTTATACGCCGTAAGGGTTAACCTCGAGTGGTATCTGCAAATGAAATCTGAGTGTGAGTGTTCTAAACGTCAAATTGAGACATCCTACTTAAAGTACATATCTTCCGATAAAAACCTGCATAGGCCTCATGGCGCCAAATCAGGATAATAAATTATTTATTTATTTTAATAACAAATAGCAGGATACCGGCTTCATCGTAGGTGCCTGGTAACCAATCTCTAGCTCTCAGTGGAGATCGAGAAAATTTTCGTCGGGAATATGTGAGGAGCGCACTGCTTGGGTCCAAGATGAAGGAATTTTCTGTCTTTCGGAGTTGTTTTGATTGTCAGGATCTTTTCTTTTCGTATCTGTCTAATCAGCTGCACCTTTGGCAGCGATTCACGAGGTTGGAACGAGTTAAGGCTGTAGGAAAAGCAACAGGGAAACCTTGCCAGCTCCATCGGTCCTTCATCCGTAGTGGACACAGGGCTTTAGCTTAGGACCAATTGATAAAACAAATTATAGCTATCCGTGACTCTAATCTCAAGATTAAATGTAACTAATTTCCCTCTGCCAGAAATTTTGCATCTATTTTACAAATACTTTAATCTTGCTCTCGCAAGCTGCGCATCGAACTAGGATGACACGACGAAAGAAGAGATTGTGAGTCCTTCCATCCAACATTAGTTCTCCGCACAACCCGTTCTTTCACAAGGAACATTTAGTGGGCCCGTGGGACTTCGTAGTAGGGCTTCGTCAGCTCGACCAATTTTCCGAAGGCGAGGGCACCCTTGGACGTGCCGAGGACCTATTTAATACCGGAGCGGAGATGCCGAGATTCGCCACTTGGGCGAGCCCCGCTTCTTCCTATGCTGCAGTGAGAGAAATGGTCCGTACTTTGTTCCTCATCACAGGAGCTAGCTATTAGAGTATCTTTGCGTGCGAAACGTCGATGGTGTAGAGCGAAATCTCCGTGTCCGTAACGAGCTGCAATAAGCGCTCAAAAGGTGCGCCTATTTAAGCATTTCAGTTCTAAAGTTATTCCTGAGCTAGGACTGATTCCTAGTTCTTTATACCTATACGAAGTCTCTCTTTCCCAGAAAGCGTTGGTGGATGCCTCGTAGTGCTGAGTTTTGTTTGTATTATTTTACGTCTAATTAGAATGAGCCTTAGCCCTTCGCTCTATACACCCAACCAGGTAAAGGACGCCTCGTAGTGCTGAGTGATGAGTTATGATAGAGTAGTAGATAAGTTTTGATGACCCTAGTATCATGTGCTGATTGCGAACCAAATAGTGTCCTGAGTATCCAAATTTGTATCCTCAACATTACATCCACAAATGGGTTGTATTTTAGATCGGAAAGAAGAGACGGTAAGGAGCTTTAGATTTTAAGCTATGTAAAGAATCAGCCTAAAATTCTTAAGTGCCAGCAGCATGAGGCCAGCTAGCGTCAAGGCATCTGTACATATCAAAACCTCGTCTAGCTCCCCACAAAATAAAGTATCTGAATTATCTTAGATATTCTGTGAAAAGGTGATAAATTTTCAAGTTAGTAAATATCATTTGAGTGCTATGTGTGGGGTGGGGGAATTTCAGAGGTCGAAACTTCAGCCCTCTCGCTCTTCATTATTTATGATCCTGATTTGGCGCCATGAGGCCTATGCAGGTTTTTATCGGAAGATATGTACTTTAAGTAGGATGTCTCAATTTGACGTTTAGAACACTCACACTCATATTTCATTTGCAGATACCACTCGAGGTTAACTCTTACGGCATATAACATCTTCCGTGCATACCCACCACGGGGAAAAGCGTGAAAGCTCTATAGTTATCCGAGTGTGCTTTCATTATCCCACAAGTACAATATCACCGCGAGAGAAAGTGGTATGTGGGTCCGGCTGGATTCGAACCAGCTTTCTCCTGTCTCGAATGGGGTAGGTGTTCAAGCTACCCAGTATCTACTTCGGAGAACGGCCCCGATGGTGCACCACTGCACCATCTAACCCTCCCTCGCTCTTCATTGATGTGAACTAAGCTGAAACAAAAGTTTAATTCTAATTCTCGAAGGAAATGGTTACACCGTCCTTTGCAGCTATTGATGGTGACATGAATTAAGATGATGTTTGTGATTGAGATTGAGATCGATTTCTATATCTTTTATTATACATAATTTGCTCCGGTTCATACACTTCGAGCCAAGCAATCAGATTATGTTCCTTTAGAACTAGGTTCTCAAGGATAAGGGTTTGACAGTGTTCCACGGGGTGCGTTGTATAGCCTAGTGAAGATGTAGGTGGTAAGTGAAGATAATAAATGGGTCAAAGGGATGACAGGTCTTCTCTAGGAAGAGATGAATGGGCAACTTGTTGCAGTAGATGTTACACGTGGGTCTTGCTGATGAAGAACTGGGCAATGGATATATGGTCTTCCCGAAGAAGAGATGGGTAAACAAATTTATTGTAAAGGATAAGTAAAAAAGACGTTGCGTGAGGAGTAAATCTCTCTCACGCTGAACTATTGTATACAAGAGTAGATACCTTTGCCAAACGGAATTAATCGTAATCAATTCTTGCCAATATCTTCGCATTAAAGGCTGTGTTCTTGTCCTTCTCTTCATGACTCTCTTGTATATCCTTACATGACTAATTGTATAGGGGAAGCTATTATTAAATTGATGGTTTTAATGAACTACCCCTTCATCTTATCATGAATTAATATTAGTATTAAAATTATAATGACGGATCCGTGAAATAGGTTCATTAGAATAATTACTTACTCAGTAAAATTCTCCTAGTCTCAGTTGTGTGTTTGGGATCTTGACTAGGTTTCTAGTAACTAGTCAATGATGTTTCTCCTATTACTGAGACATAGTCATGGTTGATACAACAAGTGCAAACGATGAATCGTGTCTATACATGACGTTGCGATAAAGTCATGATCGTTTGAGCAATACCAACTCATGAATTAATCATGTCTCTACATAACAAATTCAGCATCCTCGGCTTGTGGGAATTGACCTACATGTTACAGAAAGACATAATCTGAGAATAAATAATAGGATATTAGACATATCTACATTGTGGCGGCGCAAAAAGTTTGCATGATAAAATTTATGAATGATCTAAAGTATCGAAGTAGCATTCTAAAAACTCTTATTCATCATTAAAGTATTCATATTATCTACAATTAACACCAGCATATAAATTCAGATTTTAGACCAGGTTAGGTCTTCAATTATAATCAATATGCTTGGAAATATAGGCCCACCAATCATTACATTAGAATACTTTTTTTCATCTGTACTGTTGACAGTCTCTTGAATTTGAGGAAGGTCTTCCGATATCTCCACCTCGTCCATTACTAGAGGGTAAAAATCCGTGCATGTTAGTGTTTGTAGCAAACCCGTATGATGGGGGTAGTGGGTAGACGGGAGGCATTTGTGCGTTCCCATTATATCCATACGCTCCGGGAAGTGTTGGTAGTGGTGGTGGTAGACTGGCAAAGGTAGTTAGTCCTGGAGGTGGTGGCTGCCAGCCTGGATTCGGTACTGCAAATGAAAAATTACCACCATAGTTATTTGGTGGTCCGTTTTGTTGGTATGTGTTTCGAGGTTGTTGCTTATTCTGTTTGTTATTATGAAACTGGCTCCTTCCCCGACCCTCTCCTACTAGGGGAGCTCCTCCGTAGCTTCTTCCAGATCGTGCTGCCTTTCCTCGAGTCATTTCAACTTCATTGTGGGTTAATTTTGGAGCGGGAATCTTGACACCCCTGAGTAGCATCGACTTGTGGGTAAATTTGGTCTTGGGCATTTCATAATATACACTATTAAGAGTTAATAAACTTTCATGTTAAAATTTTCGCTCACATACACAATAGAATGATCATCTTCAAGACTTGGCATACCACCGTTGCTAAGAGGGAAGGAAAGTGAACTGTGTGGAAGATATGTATCATTTTTCTCAACCTTCCCCGTCAATCCATGTGAGATGCGAGAGTTCAAGTCGATTGTGCGAGAAGTTTGCTTTTTTGAATAAAAATTCTTGACAACTTCAGAGTATAATGATTGATGGGCTTCGGCAAACAGCAGGGCATCTTTGCCTACCGCATTGCGAGCTGCAACATCTGGTGGAAGTGAAGGATAAACTTTTGCCATAGCATCAAGTAGCCTCTGGGAGTCAATAAATGGTAGGAGGGCAACGCCTTGCCAAGCCCATTTTTTTCCATTTAGATCCACTGTGAAGTCTTCAGGATAAAAGTCAACAATCTCACTTTCAGGACTAGTCATCAAATGATGGAATTCTTTCGGTATAGCTTGCTTTGAACCAGCAGGAAGAACGCCCATTAGTTGTTCGAAGGGTCGAAATATTCTTCCCTTCTCGAAACTTATTTTTTCGTTGGAAATACTATCAAAATCTGCAGCAAATGGTGCATAGTGATAAGGATAGTACCAATCCCATGACGGGCATCCTTGAAAGTAATATAGAAGAACCCAAGCAAGTCCTTCGACGTATGCTCTGGCAACCTTGTGCCGAAATTCCTTATCCGTGGGATCGACACCAAACTTTTGCTCGTAGTATCTATCTGCGTAACCTTCTTCCCAAAGTCGAACGGTGTCAAGTGGGGTATCATCACTTATCGGTTTTGATTTGGGAGTATTGGTTTGAGGTGTCTTAACTACAGGTTCTGCACTGTCAATTTCCTCAATCATACCTGCCTTTCGTTTTCGATCAGCTGTAATAGATGGGTCATTACAGCAACCAAGCTTGTTATTAATCTCATCGGATGCAGAATCTGAAAGTATTTTACTCTTTAGAGCAGCAGCCGCGCTCTTATTCGCCAAATTAGCCCTGAAAACCGCGCTACGGTTTGATACCATATCGTGAGTTATTGATTTGGATTCCTTTCGCGTTTCGCCAGGGTTAAAGAGAGGTATATCAGCGTACACATCCTCAATTTTTTTGGCATCTTGTTTCTCGCCTAAGGGGGTCTTCTGTATACCAATATTTGTTGCACCATGATTCCCGCGGCCTTGCCGACCTCCGCGATCTTGCTCAACCTTACGGCGTTTATTGTTAGCTTCACGTCGGTCTTCAACCTGTTTTCTTCTGCGAAAAATTGCGTCCTCTTGCTTAGCCAGCCCTTCTAGAATAACCTGTGCCTTAACCAAATCAACAGTACCGTCCTTTGTCAGGTACCCATTCATTAGAGGCAAATTGTCACGCCAAATGGCAATTAGTGTATCGATCCCATTTTCTCGAATTTCAAGGCTGGGTAAGTGCGGTAGAAAATCATTGCCGACGAAGAAGCACATAAAGACCCAATCGTCGATGGCTCTTTCCAAATCGAACTTAAATGGTTGATCAGGGACTTGTAGCTCGGCTGCTAGGTACTCTCTAAGTACTGACACGTGAAGCCAGATGAAGGGCTTGAGTGCTGGTGCACTATTTTTTTCGTCGAATTTTCCATCTTTTACTTTTACTGCTCCAGTACATTCTCTTGCTTCATGGCCTGCCTGATTGCACATGTGACATACTCTGGGCTTCGAGTCTTGAGCAAATACATCTTCTCGGAGCACGCGAAAGTGGGGTTCGTGAGTCCCTAGACCTAGCATTATTAAGTCTGCGTCTAAACCGTACATGACATGCTTAGTGTTAGGATCGTATTCGGGTGAAGCTCGTTGAGATCGAATAAATTCCATAATTTTGTGTTCACCTTCACCAGGAACAGTGGAATCAGAAATTATAATTTTCATCTGGGCCCATGCAGGATCGACATTAAGTTTATACGCGATCCAATACCTAAGACTTGCAGCAAGTACGTCCATAAATGGTGTTCCTGGCGTTATTTCGTTCGAATCCCAGGCTTTCTTGGCCTCTGGTTCTTCGGGTTGACTACCTTGTGATTTAAGCATTTTGAGAAGTGTCAATTTATCTTCTGCCTTCTCTTTCGCCTCTTGTGCAGATCTGAATCTTCTAGAGCGTTGTTGGTTCATCTTTGCTCGTGGTGCAACGCCATCTATAGCGATTAAAAGCAGTTTCCTTGGACGTACCATGTTTACGACACGATCAGTATATTTAAAAATAGCCATCATCATTTCCTCTTCATCTTTAGGGGCAGGACAATCCTCAGGGTGCGAACATGGATGAACAATCCCATTCATATCAAGGTATAAGTTGTCAAACTCTTCTCCATTAGGGTTCGCGCCACGTGTGTCAATAGGTATTAGTTGGCCATCAATTTCTCGTGGTTGTTCTTCGACGACAGGAGAGACAATTTTGGGCTTTTCAAACATCAGCCTTTAAATTTTGAAGTAGAGAAAAAGAGGGAGAAATACGTATTTTTGGCTGAGCCAGCGGAAGAGGGCTGTTTGATAGAGATTAGCAGTTTTTTTTAGAACATTGGTAAAGAACTCAAACCTGGAACACCCATGGCTGGGTTACGATTTAAATGTCTGTTGACGTTATCCCGCTGAGTACCTAAGATAACCTCGATAGCTCCTGGATTTTATTGTAGATAGGACGGGAGTTAAAATAAATATTTCTTGGGACTACATGAGGTTGGCATAAGTAGCCACATGTACGTGAAAAAGGCTTATCTATCGCAGCAGTTCCTGTAATACGGATTTCACATGTATTCTTTGAGACCCTTCGCATTGCACCCAGTTCACATTGGGACTAGCTTGAAATTAACACTGAATTAAACAACACTGTTTCTAAATAGATGGGTAATTATTGAAGTGATTTCCCAAAAGGGCCATTTTCAGATTATTCCGATGCCCTATGTTTTTACTAGAAATATCGAGTAATGTTCACCATCCCAAAGCCTGCGAAACAAACCGCAGAGGACACCATCATAACTCTTTCGGGCAGATTAGCCTCATCAACTCTTCTTGAAGATAGACGCGCAGCAGTTCTTGGACTCAAAAGTTTTTCATCTGACTATCCAGCGACAGTATCCAGTAACGCACTCCGGGGACTAATCGGATGTCTCGATAGAGACAAGCAAGACGTTGATATCACCCAAGCAATACTTCAAACACTTCTTATACTCTTCAACCAAAATGCAAATAGTCCGGAGGCTTCCGAAGAAATTCCGCTCTGGCTTGCAGACGAATTCACCCAACGACAGGATAATATTACACTACTTCTAGATTTCCTGGATGCGAATGACTTCTACATTCGACTTTACTCATTAAAACTTCTATCTGCAATTCTTTCATCACGAACTGAGCGGATAAAAGAATGCATTGCTGCGGCGCCGTTGGGAATATCAAAATTGGTTGTTATTCTGGACGATAAAAGAGATGCAATACGTAACGAAGGCTTATCACTCCTGACCTATCTCACTCCAAATTCTATTGAATTACAAAAGCGAATAGCATTCGAAGACGCCTTTGATCGGATTTTTAACATAATAGAGCAAGAAGGTTCCCTTCTCAACGGTGGTGGATTGGTTGAAGATTGCCTTATACTTTTTGCAAATCTACTTCGCTTGAATGAATCTAATCAGTCACTATTTAGAGAAACAGGATATGTGCCCAAAATTTCCAGGCTGCTGGGCGACGCAATTATCGAACAGTCAGATGAACCAGAGCTTGCTGACTGGGCTAAAACCCAGAGAAATCGTAATCTATACGCATTACTGGCAGTATTGCGGTTATTTTTAGTCAATGGTAGGGCTGGAACGCAGACAAACCAAGTATCGTTCTGGCAACATGGAGTACTGCAAGAAGCCCTTAAATTAGCATTTAACAGCTCATCCGAAAACACAATAAAAGCGGAGGTATGTGTTGCGAGGCTCTTACCAAATAGCTTGATACATTTTGACATGATATCAGGCTTTGATAACTTGCGCAGATATTATTAGGGGTAATTCCAGTCTTCAAGAAGGATTCGCTCAGATGCAAGTCAGCTCTATCCTCGAACAGCCTCTAGCTAAAGGTGGTGAAACTTCAAAGGTGTACGTTATAGATGGGCTTCTCGACCTTGCGCTAAGTTTGTCTGAGCTACTTGCATTTGATGCTAGACTTGCTGCTTGTGAATGCCTTAAATCCTATTTCATTGGTCATGTTGACATACGTAAACACTTTATACGACGTGCTATTGATGGATATACAAGTGGTGTGGATGAGACAGCTAACGTTCTGAAAATTGTCATCAAACCTTCGGATTCTCAAGCCAGACGAGACCCTTATCGTCTCTGGTTTGCATCAGTCATCTTGTTCCACCTGGTCTACGATGATACAGATGTCAAGGCTACAGCAATGAATGTAACTGATGGTGATGCAGAAAATGGCGAAGAAGTAGTAACTTGCCTTCAAACCATTACAGGAAATCTTCTTGATGGGATTAAGATGGGTGCTGATGAACGTGTCCTGATTGCGTATTTGATGCTTCTGTGTGGATGGTTATTCGAAGATCCAGATGGTGTTAATGATTTTCTTGGGGAGGGAAGTCATCTCCAAAGCTTAGCACATGCTGTACACACGAATACTACGGACAACTTGATAGTTCAAGGGCTATGTGTCATGTTATTGGGGATTATTTATGAATTTTCTACAAAAGACTCCCCTATTGCAAGAGCCGTAATACATCAGATTATCCTCTCAAAATTGGGTAGAGACCAGTATATTGATCGGCTAAAGAAGTTAAGAAGTCACCCATTAATACGCGACTACGAAGTTCTACCCCAGAAGCTCAGCTCAAGTGTTGCTGGAGGCCTTCCGGAGGTATACTTTGACATGACTTTTGTTGAATTTGTAAAAGACAACTACAGCCGTGTTATTCGCGCCATTGACCGTGATCCTGGATATGAGGTTTCAGTTATTACGAATGGCGTACAAAAAGGTATATCTCGAGAGATGGTTGACTCTCTACAACTTCAACTTGAAGAGAAAGAAAGGTTGTTGCAAGACTGTTACAAAAAAATGAATGAATTGGAAAATAATCTCAACCAGGAGCAGAATAAACACCAATCATATAAAGAGGCAACCGGAAGAGAGATTTCCCAAGCAAAATACGAGATACAATCACTACAGGCGCAGCATGAGAATGAAATCAAGTAGGAACTTGTTCGCAAGTATAGTATTTTGTTAACCTTCCTAGTAAAATTTTGCAAAATAAAAATCAGTCTATTCAGGACTACCAACGACAGCTCGATCGTGTCACGGTAGCCGCCGATAAAGAGACTAAAGAAACTCGAAGATTGCTTGATGAAAAGACAAAAGATTTTCAGGATAAAATTGAAGAACTTCAAGCTGAACTTGGCCAGGTAGTAAAGCTGTGGCTCTGTGTGATGGTTGCTAACATACTGCGCAATAGGCGAAGAAAAATCATGCTGGGAAATTACAACTTGCTCATGACCAATATAAATCACTCAATGAAAAAACTGCAGTATTAATAAAGTCACTAGAAATAAAATCGGAATCGATTCTATCAGAAAGGAATGAAGCACTAGATGAAATCTCCATTCTCAAGAATTCTCTTAGTCAAACAAAGAGAGAAAGACAATCTGCACAAGCAGAATTAGAGGATCTATTGATGGTTTTTGCTGATATGGAAGAGAAGCTCACAATATATAAAGAGAAGTTAAAAGGGTTGGGGGAGTCAGTCTCTGACGTAGAAGATGAGGCTGACAATAAGAGTAACGCAAGCTGAACGCATCGGCTCCGGCATAAAATGATCAAATTTCATGATTCTAAGATTGTAAATACTGTGCGATGGTATAAATGTATACTGCGAGTAGGTTAACTATGTTTGTTAATGTAAATGACAGATGGAGATTCATCTATAGTCTACAACTGTGCCATCTTCTTTCTCAGTCTGATGAATATTATCTAATGCTTAACGTTCATACGGAATGATTATTACAAAGGAGAAAATACTTCAGGTTCATTCCGCATTCGGTTAAATATTCATAGAATACAAATCATTCAATCACTACATGCCAGCTCTGCTAAATTGATGGACGTTATAATCTCTTGAAACTTAGTTGTTTTTTGTTCAATTTTTAATTACGTTTACACTACCTGGGTGTGAAACAATATCAGAGATTAAGTATAGAAAAAAAAACTCAATTGAAAAATAGAGCACTCACACTTTAGATTTCATCTGCAAGTGTCACTGTAAAGTTTTTTCGACTTTTTCTTCACTCATACTTAGCCCTTATCCGTGATTACTCACCCAACAAATGTCCTCATAAAACCTGGGCTATCCAGATATGCCTCCATCATTTAGTGATTATTCTCCGCTCGAAACGTGGTCTACGGCTTATTCCCAAGTAGAATAGTTACTCAGGCTACCCAAAACATACTGCAGAACACCACTAAGAGGCGGACTGAGGAATCTTCCATTGTCGGCTTGTTTTTATAGTGTAAACGGCACTTTCTCAATCAATGGCTTGGCCGGCAAAGGCGAATTCTTCACCTGCAAATTGTGCCGGTATAATCGCTCAGTATACTCTGCATATCTAGGATAACCAAGAAGAAACGCATCCGAATCGGTGTCGAAAGCAACCTAAAGCATATCTCAAGTCAAAAACCTCCTGTCAATTTCGGACCCATCATTCTCACGCGAGTCCTCTCACTCAATCTAACTACACCACCTAGCCTTTACTTTCTATAACAGCGTTACTACAATTGCAATCCGGATTTCGCCTCGTCAAAAATCGGCCATCTCCCACTATAGAATTTCGATTTTATATTTACCCGCGAGGAGGAAGGTAAGTCATAATATGCAAAGCTCGGGTCATGGTTTATGGGGGACCTTTTTTCTGGTGGGGCTTCACATCTTGATGGAAGATAGGCAGCTGGGAAGTGGGACGAACGAGTGATGAGGTCACGAAAGGGCATACTGGAACGCAAAAATTTTCGAATGTTTTCGACTTGAGGGTGTCTGTGGGCGCAGAGGCAACGATTTCGGATAGTGCAACCGACACTCTAAAAACAGGCAACGGTGGTATATGTTTTGATCCGCTTCCTGGTCGTCATCTCCCCTGAATTAAATTCTGGTAGCCTGGACACCTACCTCACTCGAGAAAGGGAGGATTGTGAGGCCATATCTCGCGCGGTAACTATATACAATATGGCAAAGGCATGATAGGGTAGCCAGAGGTTTTCCCATTTTTCCTTTGGTGGATATTAACGGTTGAGGGAAGGGTGAAAGTCCCTTGCACCAAGGTCTCGAGTGCTACCAGCGAGTGCGTTCACTAAATGAGTCGTTCAAATGTCAAACTGAGTAATCGTCTTATACATGATGATGATGATGATGATGATGATGATGATTATTATTATATTTATCGTGCCAGGCTTACACCCTCCATCCGATGGACATGACACGCATGGAGGACATCTAGAATACAAGTTCCTCCATTCTCCAGCAAAGCCCATCTGGTGCCTGACTTTTCCAAATACGTGCCTCACGCTAGTTACATGATGTCGAATAGGTAAGAACGCATTCACCATGATCCTAAGACCATGTATTGAGGGAAAACCTTCGTGGGAAAACCTCAATAATTCCTCCTGTACTCTTTCGCGACGAGCGGCCGTAGTCCCCCCTTAAACAGGCCGTGTAGGAATCCAACCTACCACTTCTAGAAAGCACATCCAGCACCCGACCAACTGTGCCAACAGCCTGTTGAAAATCACATATCGTTTTTCCCTAATTCTCCCCTGCATTGCGCTCAACCCCCATTTGAGAGGGCTGAAATTCCGAAATCGAGAGCTCAAAACCGAGGCATCGGTTCCCCAGCTTTTGTCGTAAATTGTTCGTTGTCTGAGTGAGGCTTCTTCGTTCGCACCGTCTTTGGAATGTGTCGAAAAGTTGAGAATGTTGATGTCGCGGTCGAGGTGCTTGTCTAAAATGAGGCCGGGCAATTGCCCAGTCCTGCACACAATGTTAGTAAGGTTGAAAGCGAAAGGAATTTTACCTTTGATATTGGAGGGTTGTTGGTGAGTCGTAAAGTCCTCCCAGTCAAACTCAATCGGGAAGTTGTTAGAAGACTGAATAGAAGAGACCCAAACTTAAACTTTTGATATATCGTGCCGGTAACGGAACCTAGCCCATGTTCCTATCGAAATCGACTTTTCGACAGGATAACGTTGTCATTGAGGCAGCATCAGAATGGATATCAGTGTTGGTACCACACGTGCCCCTTTACATTCGGACACTGGAAGGGAGCATAACAGTCACCGATGAAATGGTGATAAGTGAGTGCCAATCAGTCTGTGGCGCGGTTCCAATTCTAGTACGCCAATCACCGACAAAGCTGGGACAATATTCTACCAGTTGGCTTGTACATTTCCGCCAAAAACCATCGAACCTCAAGTTTAGACTGTTCGAGGAAAGTGGACCGGCAATGCCTTACACGCGACAGCGCTCCATTGAGCAATGCCAGCGCTGCTGGGGATTCCACCCCACGCGAATTTGCACTAAAAGCCAACGCTGTGGACGCTGTTCGGGTGTACACGAGTCTTCAGAGTGTCAGGTCAAAAATCCTAAATGCTCTAACTGCGCGGGTCCTCATGACTCTTATGAGCTGAAATGCATGGCTAGGCCCTGGCGCCAACAAGGAACTATTGTACCTCGCACACCATCAGAGTTGCGCATCATCCGCGAACGTGGACATCATGACTTTAATGCCGCTCGAGCATATTCAGAGAGGAAAGGCAAGGCTGTAGAAGTCATCTCTGCCCCAGAAGCATCTATGCAAGGTTAATGTTAGAGAACCGAATCTCGAACACACCCACAGAAATCAAAAGCACTCTTCTATTTCACCAAGTGAACGTAGGAAAGGGTGGAGAAAACATGAACATAGCCTTGCAACAAACATGGGAAGCAGGAGCGCACGTTGTAATGGTACAAGAGCTATGGACGATGCAAAAGACGTAAGCTTTATCAGTAAAAGTCACACTGGCTTCGATAGCCACAGCCCAATCGGCGAGAGAGGAGCTCGGCCTCGGGCAATAACTTTCACCCGCAAAGGCCTGCAAAACCTACAGATAACCCCATCCTCAGGCCAAACAGCTGACTACTGTTTTGTACAGGTTTGCGGGGTTACATTCGTAAATGTTTACCGCGCGCCTGGCCCGAGTGGCACTCTAGATCCACTACTACTCTAGAAACCTTCATGACCTACAGTGTTTGGAGGAGATTTCAACTCAGTATCAAGGCACTGGCAACCGCAAATTCTCACGACATGCATCTAGCAACCAGAGCCAGGGTTCCAACACATCGGAGCGGAAACGTACTAGATCTAGTGTGGAGCAATATTCCAGCAATAGCATCAGTGTCAACGGAGATAAACTGTACCTCAGATCATATGACCATCGTAGGATCCACTCAGACAACCAAAATGTCGAATCCTTCAAGTATTTCGTAGGGATTGTACGTGAGCGACCAGAGCCTTGGAAAATTCTCCCAGTACGTCAAAGCCTGGATGAAGCTAGGGCCGTTGGAAAATGTTCGAGATATAGACCGCCAAATTTCTACGCTCCTAGAGACACTTGATAATGCTCGCAACGCAGTAGGACGTACAGCATCAAAAATCACCGGAACAGCGGCACCTTGATGGAACGAGGAATGCAAGACTACGCAGCGCGAATAAAAACACTGTAGAGCATGTCCGGCTCTAGCAGTCCACGCCTGAAAAAACTTCAGAGCTACTGTCAAAGCAGCCAAGAGAGAATACTGGAGGAGAAAATTTGAAGATACGACTACAGACGCCCAAGTATTTAAGCTGATGCAATGGGCTAAGCCTAAGTCACGTCGAGAGCCACCCCCACTAAAGGTTGCAGAGGACAAGTGGCTTTCAGACTCACTCGAGAGAGTAGAGAGCTTGAGGGACACTTTGATGGCTCGTTTTGATGCAGACGAAGACCTATCCATATGGGACTGGACCAACCGGACCTAATCCCTTGGGACAACAAAATTTCATTACCAGACGTTACAGAATGCACCATTGGCGGCAACAACACGGCCCCCGGAAACGACAGATTAACCGTGAGGTTGCTTAAGTCGTGCTGGACAGTAATTGGGACGCATGTAAGAAACATTTCCAAGCATGTCTGGAGTATGAACACTTCCCAATAGCGTTTCGAATCGCAGAAGTAGTCTTGCTTCCAAAGCCTGGACGAGATCTATCCACCCCTAAGAGATGGCGGTCTATCTCTCTGCTCTCTTGCCTAGGTAAAGGATTGGAACGTATCATAGCCAAAACAATGGCTTGGTCAATCATCGAGCACGAAGTAGTCCCTCGAAAACTTTTTGGGGCCCTGCCACGACGTTCAGCGGTTGATCTTGTCTCCTGTGTTATTCATGACGCCGAGGCGACAATGAGGAGTAACAAAGTTACAGCTATGATAACGATGGATGTGCAAGGAGCTTTTGATGCGGTACTTCACAAACGCTTACTGTGTAAGATACGTGACCAGGGGTGGTCAAGGAGACTGTGCCGATTAGTTGAGTCATTTTTGACCAGGCGGAGTATTCGCGTTCGTCACCGGGAGGGAATAACATGCGAAAAAGTCGTGGAGTGTGGAGTACCTCAGGGCTCACCTCTATCGCCACTTCTTTTCCTCCTATACATTGCCATTTTAGTTCAAGATGGGAAAGGAAAAAGATTCGGATAAGCCGACGATATTGCATCCCTCGAAATAGGA